TAATACCCATTTTTCTCCTCTTTCTAAACAGAAATATTTTTAAAAACTTCTATTTGGCTTGGAATATTTTTTTTAATTGTTCAGCTTTATTGTTTTCTCTTCTTTTCTCTCTTTCTTAATTGCTCGTCTTCCCGAAAAAGAGCTAAATTAATTTGATAATTTTATGAAAGAAAAACCGTTTTAGTACTATTTATAGGATATTTACCTGTTTGAAGATTTTGTTATATAAAGAAGTGTTTCGTTTTGAAGTAAAAGCTCTTGTAAATCAACACAATCATAGCTTCCAAATTAGTTAACTACAACCTTAGTTTTCAAATTTATGGTTCGTTGCTTATCTGTAATACTTAATGAATAGTTATGGGTACACAACTCAGTAGATCAAAAACGTGGTTCCGGAAACTAGATTTCAGAAAACATATATATTTATATTTAGTCATATTAGCTGTACAAAATTTTTATTCGCTTTCACCATTATTTTTCCATTGATAAATTATAATTTTATGAAACTTTTAAACTATAAATTAAAAATAACTCTCTTACACTGCAGAACTTCAATATATTCAAATGATTGTGTTAAGTAAAAATGTCGTATAATTTGTTTCATTGAATGATTAATGTGAACCAATTATTTTAAATATTTCTGCATTTTCTAAATGCATTTATCTGTTCTCTTAACAATTAGAGTTAAGTTTAATACAGTTTTACACAGTTTATTATGCAAAAGCATAACAAATTTGCATAAATTGATAATTCCAGTTCATAAAAGAATTATTGTTACAAAAGCTGAATTACAGGAAATCTGTATTACTCGCTTCCAAAATATACTCTGTGCCATAGCATTCATAGCAATGCTTAAATGCTGTTAGTATAATTCATAGGGTAAATTAAGTTATTTATGTGGTAAACTTCATAGGTTCTTTTATTTATTCAAACACATACGAGGAGTAAACACTTATTGTACACTGTCTTGAAAGCAGTAATAATTAATATATAATAATCGAAGCGAAAGCTAAAAATTATTATTAGAGTGAAGCGATTAGCGTCAAAAAAAAAAAAAAATACCAGAGATGCATAAACTTGATAGTAGCGTGGACAAAAAGATTCTTTGCTATCAACAAATTTCTGCAAACATAGAATGAAATCAGAGCCATGTTTTAACTTAGGCATTTGGAATTATTTTAATATGATTTTATAGAACAAAGATGAGGATTTGAAAAATACGTTTTGAGGTAAAAGAGAGGCAACATGAGATACACGCATTATTTCTATTCTTCTCATTAACATAAAAGGCCCACTAGCGGCCGAGCGATAAAGTCGCTGAACACTGATAGATCCGAAGTTTAAATCGCTCGAACGAGCTGGCTGCATGGGCGTTTTCGTGGTTTTCCCCATGTATAACGTGTATACGAGCCCGTTCCCTTAGAACGTCCTTCAGGAAGGCATCATTTCCCTTAGACAGATAGCCCTTGAGCTTTTGCCATAATCCCATAAAAAAAGTTTAACATAAATATGATTTAGTTTTTTGGTTTGATTTAAATAATATGAAAATATTATATTTTACAATGTGTACCTTTAAAAAGTTTTTAATTAAATCTAAATGAATCTGTACAACACAGAGCCGTACTGGTTTTGGGCGAATCATCACTTGCCAGGAATGGGGCACAAATACTGCATAAATATGGATTTGGAAGGTAATAAAAATATTTAGGAGAAAGAGTTACGAGATTAGTTTCAGATATTAAAATCTGATGTAAGGGTCTGACGCTCTACTTTCTTTAAAAGTCTTTCACAAGGTATTTCTCCCGCCTTCTTAGCATGCCTTTATGGTGTAGTGATCAGCACACTTGGCGCGTATTCCGTGTTTTGAGTCCCGGAGAGGGCTTGCTCATTTTTCACATCTCCTGCTTCTAAATAACCTAATGACTTCACATTTTTTTATCAACTGGACTTTCTTAAAAGTTTTCATTTGATTTTCTTCATTAAAATCAGAAACAATTTCAGACTGTAAAGTATCAAAAAGGCATCAATACATATTTTAGCATGCCTTCGTGGATTTGATTTCGTAGTTTCGATTTTGATGTGTTCATTAAAGTCCTTCATTTCTGACACCATTCCTTGACCTCCTGTGTGAATGCCTGGATCCTTGTGATGGCATGTGTGGGATTAAGAGAGCTGGAGAGAATTGCGATGTTATCCGCGTAACAGACACGCAGTGATACAGTTTGCTTTCCAAGCATGGGAAAATCTTTTACATATATTTAATAGAGAATTGGTTAGACGATACTACCTTACAGGAGGCCCCTTTTAACTAAGGTGTTTTCAGAGAGGTGGTCTCCCTGTCTTACACAGAAGGAACGGTTATTAAGAAATGAATGCAGGATCTTAACCATTTCCCTAGGGAGATCTGGGGAAGCAAACTTGTAAGTGAGGCCGTTATGCCAGACGCGGTCAAAAGCTTTTGAAACGGCTAGCATAATAAAAGCAGTAATTTGGTGTTTATGTATAGCAGAGCTCACAAATTCCACAGTCATAATTTAGCTGCATTGCAGTGGATAACCACTTCCGAAAACCGAATTGTTAGTTTGGGAGGATGCTCAGGGCAGGCTGCAATCTATTAAGGATTATCCTCTCAATAATTTTACCCAACGCTGGGAGCAGGCTGATAGAGTGGAATCCATCCACCTTAATGTTACCTTTTCCCGGCTTGGAGATGAGGATTACAACTGCTTGCTTCCACTCCGTCGGGAAATAGCTCAAGAAAAGACACGCGTTATAGATGCTACAGAGTTTGTTTATAATTTTATTGGGTAGCTGCTTAATCACTGAATTAGAGATTTTATCTTTGCTTGGGGCTTTCCTGTTGGGAAGTTTAGAAATGATAGAGTTGATTTCAAGCCGGAAAGTGAAGACAGGAAGGTTAGTAGCACTGCGTTGACTCAGCCAGTTATCAACAAAAGTGTTGACGTGGTTTATAATACTTGGGTTCGAGTTGCTATCATTAGGTGTGAAATACTTAGCGAACTGTTTGGCAAACACATCTTCTTTTTCCTTGTTGTATCCGGAGTGGGCCTGATGTGGTTTGTTGCTAGTTCTATTTGCTTTGAAGGTGCGAAGTGATTTCCAAAATTTTCCATCTACTGCATTAAGTTTTTCTATTTTATCATTCCAAAGTTTGACACGGTTGTTCTTCAGTCATGCCTTTGATGTGCCTGTTGAGTTTATTAATTTCCGCTTTGATGGCTGGGTCACGTGATTAGGTGCAGATGTTGCGCAGCCTTGTTACGTGATTGGATGACGGTTTTAATTTTATGCGGGGGCTTGAAATGATGTGTTTTTCCCTTGAATTCAGAGGTAAAATTTTTAAGAGCGTTTTCTGTTCCCTTGTTGACATTTAAAATTGCCTGGTAGATATCATTGATTGTTTTAACCGGCCAAATGATGGGGGGGGGATGTTGGTTGATATGATTTTGGACAGTGTTCCAGTCCGTGACTTTGTACGTGTTATTTATTTCAGGTTCATTAATTCCAATACGTAGTAAGACCAAGAGAAATTCCTTTTATACAAGTTTACACAAACTACAAAACCTAACTTTTTATTCGTTCCTCTGGCCAATATATTTATAGTCAGAAAAATGTTACATTCATTATATGAATAAAGCAAAAGAAGTTTGACACCATACGGCAAAAAATTGGCGAGTTAGTTAATAAATAAATTAGAATATGCTTAGGGATTGTATGGAAGAGTCAGTTAATAAATAAATTAGAGTGCTACATAAAACAATTATAGGTTGATCTATAAGGTATTTCTCCCGCCTTCTTAGAATGCCTTCGTAGTGTAGTGGTCAGCACGCTGGGCGCGTATTCCAGAGATTTGATTCCCGACAAGGGCGTTGCTCATTTTTCACGTTCCTGCTTTAAAAAAATACCTAATATGCCTTTACAGGAGACAGGAGACCATCAACAGAGCCAACTGCACCATCATTACGACTTTCAGCTTTTGTGCTCTATTGATGGAAACTATCTACCATCCGCTATCAGCGGCATATATTTGAAATAAAATTTTACAAAGATCTCTACAATATATCTACAGATTTTTTCTTTTAAATATTATTCAATGATATTCTTTTGTGATCTGACGCCTTTAATTTAGAATTTTATTACATTTGGTACACCAAAATAATTTTCACGCTAGTAATTTAGAATTTTCAGTCTAAAAATACGTTATTGATATTCTCATGAAACTTTATTACTTTAAAATCCTATTCTTTTAATCTTACAACATATTAATCAAACTACAAATATTTTTTCATTCTGGAATAATGCAAATGATATTACGAGTTGGCTATGTGAAGATGCTGAAATCTTCAAATGTTTTACAGAACATGAATTCTATAAGATTCTGCGAGTAAGATATTAATAAAAAAATTATATTGCTCTATATTTTTGACATTAATCTGCACAGAAATGGTGTCGTTACATGATGAAACATTTTTCAAAACTATTACTTTATTTTTAATGATATATAGAAATAAAACCTTCCGCTTTTTAATTTTGTGTATGATCTCCTACTGCAGCATCAAATACCTTGGCCAATTTTTGTTGTACGAGAGTCACATGTTTGGCGATTTATTTTTTATAACGAGTATAAAATTTTCCGAAATGTAAGTAAAAGGACCCAAATAACATATAAAAAATTATATTTCGTTATTTTTACAAAGCAGATTTCTTTCAATTTAAAAATTCCAAAACCTGATTATATTTGTCTCATTTTAAACATTTCCGTAACTGGAAGTATACGCTTAGGAGCAACGGCTACGATAATAAAAGCCAGCTAATGACTTTTGAGGGCACGGTGTACATTAAATGAGGTGCAGAAAATCTAATTAGTGACTTTTAAAATACAAGTGATTTTAAAAAGAAAAATCATTGGAAGAAAAGCGTGTTTTCCAAGTGTTAAACTTTGTATTTCCTGTCACTGAAAATCCATGGATATGCAAATATTAATAATGGGTACAAATTCTTTATTCACAGTAAAGCCTTAAAAAGTATTTTACAATGATCCATATTTTAATTAAGGTCTTTAGGAGCATGTTACATCTTAGAAATGTGAAACCAAAGCTTTATTTCTGTTTCAAAAATTGCAGTTCATACATCTGGAGTTCACGCATGGCTTTCACCAGTATTCGATCCTGGAATCGAACCACTGAACTTCTGAAGTTCGTCTTTGATGGCCTGGATGAGCGTCGCAACAGGTTCTCCATTCCTCAGGGCACTGACGACGTCTATTTCGTCATATTCGTCTACTACAGCGGGGTTAATCCTCGGAGAATGAGCAAGGTAAAGTTCCGATGCCGCTTCTCTTAGAAGACTGATAGCAGATGCGGACGGTATTACTGTATCTTGGAGAGTTTCTTGCAGAGTATCCAAGACAGGCAAAGACGAAGAGGTAGAAACAGAAGGAAGATGCCGGACATTCTGTTGATGGAAAGGAAAAAAGTTCAAGTGCCTGTTCCGAGCTTCCGTGATTTCTCCAACAGGTCTATCAATATGTTTCAATGAGTGCTGCGAAAGAAATCATGAAGATGGAATTATGAAAAGTGAGCAGGATTTCAAAGAATTATAAAGACAAAGTATAATGTAAAAATATTAACGGATTTTGTTATGAAGTGGTGTTTACTTCAGGGTTTCAAGACACATTATTGTTAACAATCAGTTTCTTCTTCCCATTCTAGATTTAAATGTTCATAAACATAAATGGGTATTCACATACCTTCCCATCGACTATGAAAGTTAGTGAAGATCCCGCCAGACTTGCGCCAATTACTTCGGCAAAAGTTTACAAAAATAGAAGATACTCTATTTATTTACATAATCATCCCTTTATGGATAAAGCATATGATTTTTGAGCCCTCGAAAAAATATCCACTTGTCACAATTTTTCAATTGCATCGCAAATGTTTATATTTTTTAAGGTTATTATTTAACCCTTTAACTGCTTAAGACGTGTTTAAACGTTTTTGGAATTTCTTTAAAAATGCTTAAGACGTCTTTACACGAATTTCAAATCGCACGAAAAATGCTTAAGACGTGTATACACGAAGCCCGAATTTCGCGAAGATTGCTTAAGACGTGTTTAGACGACGCGATCTGGTCTTCCTTCCCCTACCTTTCTGCAGGCGGCTGTCAGTTGACACAAAGGTCTTAATAGGGTGTGAAGTCTCTTTGAAAAGAGCACTTTAGGAAAAAGTCCTTAGAGTGAAGTATCTTTGTCAGACAGCAGGTATGTATTATCTGTGTGCCGACTAAAAGTTTGCGAAAGAAGATAAATCGTTTTACAACTGTTTGCCTTGTGGTACTTTATACAAATGAAAGTCAAACAGGATCCGACGTTGTTATAGTACATTGCCGAATTTTAGTAGAAACAAGAAAAAATAAGAATTGTAACGGAGGACGCCTTTATGCCTATATGTTATAGAATCAAATATTTTATTTTTGTATTGAAAAAAATGATTACAATTTCTGATTCGTCAGGAAAAAATATAAAATGTTGCAACCAGCTTTCTTGTTTGCCTTCGTATTTCAAATGCGCGTTATTATAATGGTATATTCTTCTTTTTACATTCTTAAATGTTAAAACTGTGCTTTCAGCATGCCTGAGTTTTGTACTCGTATGTGTGGCTCTATGCTCCGTAGAAATGGCGAACTGACATATAAAAAATTATATGAATGTTGAAAGGAAGATATTCTACTCGAAACTTCAACTAAATGGAATAAATGAATACGCCGAAGGAATTTCTAGAAATATTTGTTTTAAAAATTTTATTATTAAGATTTTAAATACAAAATGTTTTGAAATCTAAAGAAAAAAAATATGTAATCCTTGAAACATTTTTGGAAAGAAATCTATCGATATAAAATCTCTTAAAATTAATGGAGTGTAAATGAATTAAAACAGTTAGTGTACGGAAGGGTTAGATATACTGCGCACAAAAAAATTACAGTCAGAAGATCAATTATTTAAAGATATGAATTAATTACATTAAAAGAATTTAAAATAAATTAACATCTGTCCAAATGTCAATGCTAACAGCAATAGCACGAATGAAAGTTATTCTTTAAATTCCGAACTTAATTCATCCGTCGGTACGCAATGATTGTGTCTTTGCGATTACTTTTCTTATAGATACTACAAAAGGCCGCCAACGAAGTAGCGGTAAAATCGTTGAATACTAATAGTTTGAAGCGGGTTCAAATCCTGACGAATGGATTGCCTGCATACCAGTTTTAGCGAATTTTTGCTGCCCATGTTTAATGTGAATATGAGCCAATTTTAGTTAGCTTTTCATGATGACGTGCCTTGACTACGAGTTCTCGCTCGGGTTGTGTTTGGTTTGGCTTGTTAGTTTATTAAGCACGTGAAGGCGATCTGTCTAAGGGGAGGTAGGAGGTATGCTTTCGTGACAGATTTTCTAAAGGAAACAATCTCGCACTACAAAAAGTTAAAACCATAAAAACGCGCAATCAGCTTGTTCACGGGGGTTTGAATGCAGGTCAAACTACCAGTATGTTAAGAGAAGCGATTTCAAGAATGTTTAATTATTTTATTTAGTTTGTCATAAGCTAAATAAAATAATTAAACATTCTTGAAATCTCTTCACATTACTGAAATGGCAATAACTTCGAATTATACTATGCTACCACTTTTCCTCTAATATGAAATTTTGAACTTTTCCGTTATCGGACAGCCCACCAGCGACTGAGCGGAGTCTAACGGAACAACTGGTGGTTCTGTCCGGGGGGGTTCGAATCCCGGCAAACGGGCTGGTTGCCAGGATGATATTCTTAGTTTTCCATATGTGTAACATGTATGCAAGCCAATTTCCGTTAGGCAGTCCTCGAACGAAGGCATCCTTCACCTTAGGCAAATAACCATCGAGTACTTTGCCATAATCAAATAAACCTTTATCCATAACATGCTTCAAATATTTTTATGTTGAAAAGTTCATGCGCCAAAGTTGGCCCCCGTTGAATGAAGTATGTTGTTTATTTTTTCTTTGTTTTTTATAACAACAATGTTCTTGTTTTCAGAATCTGAATTATCAATAAAATTCTTTTAATAATATGCGAATCTTTTTTTTTTTTTTTTTTTTTTTTTTTTTTTTTTAATGAAAAATTAATTTAAGCGACAAATCTCTTACATTTAGAAAAATTTTCGATTTTCGAAACGAGTTGCTGTCAAAAGCGCATCTTCTCGTTGCTGCATATATTTATTTAAAGCAAACTGCTTGGCGCGTGTGCTTTTATATTTGAAAAGATTCAGAGAATTTTCAACAGGGAAATAAAGTTATTAATTTTACTGAATTTTGTGGATTCTTTGTGTTTTGAGGTAAAAGTCAAACCATCAGATATGTGATAACCTTAAAATAAGGGTATATATAATCAGGATTTTTGCGGCCAGACATTCCCAGCGAAATACATTACAAAAAATTATCTATGTAGAATTAATGTATATTCCGTTTAGTATTTTAATTTATCAGTGTTATTACACATCAATTTATCAGTGTAAGTTATATCGAGTTTTAGTTGTGTTCGATATAAGAATTTTATTTGGTTTATATAAATCCGATTTCGTTTAATAATATTATATTTATTAAATACTATTTATTAGGTTTCCAAATCTGTCAAACCCAATCAATGGCCTCCTGGCTAAGATATCTGATTATCGCTATTTCGACTCATATTCGAACCCAAACAAACGAACTGGTTGAATTTTGTGATTTTCCCTATGTGTAACATGAACATGAGTACGTTTTACTTAGAAAGTCGTCCATGGAGACATTCATTGCCTTCGGCTGATAGGTCTCGTTTCCTTTGCCATACTCAAAAAATCTAAAAATTTTTCAAAAAGACTAACAGATGCATATAACAAAATAAAATTAAGTAAATGCATATAAGAAAATAAAATTAAGTAAATGCATATAAAAAAACTGAAGTAAATGTATATAACAAAAAAAAAAAAAAAAAAAAAAAAAAAAAAAAAAAAAAAAAAAAAATGAGGTAAAAACAAATTTTCAATAATTTTTCAATACAGTAGTTTTTAAATTGCTTGTTTTCAAATTTTATTTCATTTTTATGTATGTACTAATATACAGTGTATGTGTGCGAAAGTGTGCTTGTTCGGCATATCCATCTATATTAATTAAATAAATCTGATTTGAAAATGCATGCACTAACGCGCTATTCTCGTAATTTGAAAAACACTAAAGTATTGTCTGAGAAAAATATTTATAAAGAAAATTAAATTTCGTCTCCTTACTCGGTGCTGTGTAAAAAATTTAAATAAGCTTATTAATTTTTTTCTTCTTTATTAAAAACAAATTAGTTTCTTTTCATCTATATATGAAAAATAACAAAATCTTGCTGTCAGAATGGAAATTCTTAAAAATATAAAACTCGTTTTTTTTCGAACAAAAGTTTCTGAGAAATTTCTCTAGGTCAGCAGGTAGTAACAGGACCACTGACTGCTTTGTTTGGAAAACCTGATGAAGTGGATGATTTTACCTCCAAAAGGTTTTCTTTAACAAAGCAGATGCGGTCCAAATGGCTTTGCTGAGAAGCGTTCGTATTTGAATAGCTTGAAAGCTTGAGTTGGAAGACGTTTCCGAAGCAATCAGTCAGACAGCAATAAAATTTGTTATAGATATTTCTTTCTCTCTCTCTGTGAGTTCTTGAAATCTTGGAATGGGTGAAAGTTTATTTTGTTTTACATATATAAGGAAACTGCATGTAAAGCAAAATAATTCAAGGCACCCATAGTATGTTAATCATTGTACGTCCTCTCAGCTCTTCGGTTGGGTATTAAGAAAAGAAATTCTTATACTGCTTTTGTATTTCTTGCATAGTGAAAGATTTGAAAAAAAAAAAAAAAAAAATAGCTTCATATGAAAAGTTTTTCTCCGATGAACGAATACAGCTGAAACATGTTTCTGTCTTTAAGTATATCCACAAAACATGAAATAGTATTGTACTTTTTTGTATTCTAGTGCATTTTGATATTACTTCGTGGTAAATTTTTTTATTCTTAAATTTCTCTCTCTCTTTTCTTATAATACAGAAGTACTCTTTCAAATATGGCTGACCTATTAACCTAAATTTTTATACTATAAAATTTTATATAAAAATTAGCCGTAATCATTAGACACAGCTTTGTGTATATTATATTCTTGAATACATGCCTGCAATTAATACTAAGAATACTATTGATAAAATTCGTGATATAATTAATAATGAAAATACTGTTTAAGCTAAAAACCGATTTGAATCTTTTTTTTTTAATTATAGGGTAACATGAGCCAAACACAATTTTCGTTAGAAATATACAATTATGCTAACTTGACACATCAGATAGAAAATATTTTATCGTCATCATCGGCTATGATAAAAGATTTTATACGCTTAAGATTTTGGATTATGATAAAGCACACAGGACCTATTTGTCTAAGGGAAAGGAAGTCTTCGGGGTAGATTTTTTTGTGGGAAACAAACTGTTAATTCACAATCAA